CTGCTTCACTTGACATGGCTTCATAATATTTTCTTTTGTCTTCCCTGGCACTCTTCTTTACTCTTTTGTTCAGTGTATTGTAGCTTGCATTCAACTCCTGTTTTTGTTGCTCGTCGGTGCACTGGATAATATTTTGTTTCACTATCCTTCTCTCTTCTATTAGTTTCCAAGTGTCCGCAGTGAGCCACTGTTTGTCCTGCCTCTTCTTTCTGCCTAGAACTTCTATGCAGGTTTGACTCCACACCGTTTTCAAGTTGTCCCAGTGCTTTTCGACGCCGACCTTTTCACTAGTCTTGATTTGTGTCTCAGCTTTGTCTCTTATGTTTGCAATGAAGATGTCCTTTGTAGCCTGGTCCTTCAGGTTTTGAGTGTTGAACTTGGCTTGTGGTCTGTCTGCAGCTCCTCCTTCTCTGAAAGCTTTTAGTTTGATTTGGATTGTCCCTTGTATGAGATAGTGGTCTGAGCCAACGTCTGCTCCTCTTCTCGCTTTTGTGTCCAGTAGGCTGCGCCTCCACCTCCTCGAGCACTATTGAGATGAAATCAATTTGGTTTTTGGTTCGCCCATCTGGTGACACCCATGTAGCCTTGTGGATATGTTTGTGTTTGTATACACTGCCACCAATCACTAGTTCGTTGAAGGCTCAGAAGTCAGCGAAGAGTTCTCCATTTCCATTCATTTCTCCGAGAGCTTCTCTACCCATGATGAGTTCCCTTCCTGTGTCGTCTGGTCCCAGTTTGGCCTTCATGTCTCCCATTAGTATTTTAATGTCACCGACTGGAGTATTGTCCATTGTTGCTTGTAGTTGTCTGTAGAATTCTTCTTTCTTTTCGAGATCTGCGTTGTTTGTGGGTGCATACTATTGAATCTGGTGGTCAGTACACTGGGCGAGGCCGCCTCCCATTGCATCAGGGCCTTCGTTGCCGTTGGTGACATCATGATAGCCACGCCCTAGGTGTGCATGTGGTTATCTTCTGGGTGACCAGAGTAGATCACTGACTCACCCGTCGCCAATTTGGTGAGTCCATTCCCGTTCCATCTGCTTTCACATATTCCCAGTACTTGGATTCCGTATCTTTTCATCTCGTTTGCGATCTGGGAAGCTTTGCCAATCTCGTACATGGTACGGACCTTCCATGTCCCCACACAGACTTTTTCTTTTGGCGCAAAGAGGTTCATTGTACTGAAGTTTCTGCAGCAACTTTGTTTACAGGGTGGGGTTGCTAGCCTCACGCCTGCGGAAGGAATTGTTACATTAAGATAAAGTTTAAAGAGAAGCGACTTGTGGGTTGCCCCCCTTAAAATCGGAAAACAAGGAATACAAGGAATAAACCATTCAGAACAACATCAGCAAAGGAAAATAATTCACAGCAAAAAGGGCAACAAGCGACAACAACAATACAATACAACAACATACAATACAGTTGAGCACAGTTAACTGAAATGATACCAGAACCATAGACTCACTGACTTGGGCCAACTTGAACATGTAAATCCAACAATATGTGCAGTTACAGATGTAAGTTTATGTTAAAAATTCACAAAATCCAGTTAGTTACAGATATTATATGTCAATAAAATTATATCCACAGACTCAATGTTCGAGAGGAAAGTAATTGTAATAATTTACACAAACTCTTGCCATGGAATTCTACAGAAACAAGAGTTTTTATGAAAGTAGGTAAATGTAGCGTAGTAATCGAAAAGCGCTCTGGTAAAGTTCCTTTGGAAGTGTGTAGGCGATTGTTACTTCCCGTGGAAGTTGATTGATTCTTCGGGTACCTGGAATAGGGAGTTAGTGTTGCGTGACCTCAGAGCCCAGGGGACGGCTTGTATGAACTGGTTTCTTGGATTGGTTCCGTTTTAGTAACTTACCGCCGGTTACGGACAACCATAGGGCGAACCGGGATGCACGATTCTTGGGGTCCACCTTCTCTAACACTCTCTCCAGAGTGGAGAGACAGCACAGCTGGCATGCTGACCATCTGAGGGAAACACATTACTGATGTTACGTCCCTGTTCCCCAGAAGTACAACTTCGCCCACAGACCCCCAGCATAGTGCAAAAAAATCTCACACTATGCCGGTGACTGCTTTTAGTTTAATTGCTATCTTAACAGTCTACCTGGCATGGTAGGACCTGCATTAACAATAGTTATAGCCAGTGTAGCTTGTTGGGTCATTGCGATATGCAAGCTCGACCACCACGTCAAGGTAGCAGATATCGGTGGGGATTCAAACGTAGTACTAGTATATGTGGCTTTTTTCTACAAAAGAAGCCTGAAAATAATAATTTATTTTCGATTTTCACTAGGATAGACGCTCATAACGCCTCTATTCTCATGAACACAGAAACTCATACTACACGCGATATTGCATCCAGATAGCCTTTATCGTCAATCTCGATTCACGTATAAGATTGAAAAATTTTGTATTACACTCGCCCTCACATGAACCGAATAATAGACAGCCGGCAGTTGGACGTAGGTTCTGTGATCAGCTGATAGCCGTGCACTATATCTAGTGCGACAACCTGAGAATATGATAACCGCTTGGCATGTTGAGCAAACTTGCTGTGAATGGTGGCTGAAAACATTATTTAAATCAAAACCCCTTATATTTTTTTATTAGATAGTAGCCGCATCCGGTAAATACTGGTTTTGTGAGTGCGCCTTATCCAGTAAAGCAACTGGAAAGTTCGGGATCCCAGTGGTTGCAAGGCACTCCGTACATTGAAGAAGCCACGTCATGTTTAAATCCGCCTAATATTTGGATCATCTAGTTGCTATCACTAATCAGGTGACAATTTAAGAACGAACCCTGAATTTTTATCATCCCTCAGACACATCTCCAAGTGATTGAATTTGTAAGTGTTGAAGCTAGACTTAAGATAGTCCTCGAAATCACCACACTTACTAAAAACTTCACCGTCTTATGACTTTACGAGTACTCTACCTAACGTGTAAGTACTGATTAACTCAATCAAAGTTTAAAAGCTAACAATGGAAAGAATTCTTAGAATGAGTTGTATTTAACGTAACAGAATAACAGATTTAATAAATAAAGTGACTGTACAACTTATCTGCAGACGTTGCTGGAGGTAGGCTCGGAGAGTGTGCAAAAAGAGAGCACAACAAGAGAGCGAACCAATGAACGTACGGAAGACTCCCAAGTCAAAAGATAAAACGTGGATCACCGTGAGTGAGTCAGTTTAAACAAAAGTTCAAAGGTACAATGTGCACTACAAATTCATTCTCAGCTGCAAAACATGACTGTTCGAACTATGGATTGTGCGAGTCAATTCTAACTTTATTAAGTAACAAAAATTGTGGTTCCTCACTGTGTAGTCACAATGGAATATTTCCTTAAATCACGAATGTTCGCTCCCATTACTGATGAATTCAGTCAAAATAGTACTTTCTGAATTCTGGTGACAAACTGACCAATCACAAACAACCATATCATTTGTTTGTGTCACAAGTGGGCAGGTACAGTGACTTCCATCAACAGAATACCCCTCATTGTACTGCCACTTCTAAAAAGAAACACTAGTATCTAGGAAGCTGCACAAAAGAGTTTAGCTAAAATCATCACCGAGCAAAAATAAAGACGTTATAATCATTAATTTTAATTAAAAAATTACATTGTGGTTTGATTCCGTGCAGTTTTTCGGTACATGTACGAAATTTTTGGCAGGTGACGTCAGTAGCCCAAATTTAGCAGGCCATTGATATTAAGTGTGCGTCGTCCAGGGATCGAACTTCGGCCCATGTGCATGGTTGGCGAGCGTCTTGACCGCTGTGCCACTGATGCACAAAAAGACGACTATATACACTGCCGGCTATGATAACACGAGAAGCATCCAAAAGTCATGAGTAGCCGAGGTCGCTTAGCTCGATGTACCTAACAAGAAGATTGCTGCAGTACTCCTGAAGGTAATTACGCATATAGCTGCTCACCGGGTAGCGACAATAAAGGTGCAACCTAGCAGCATTTCCGGTGGAAATGTTTGATTTTGTCATTCACTTCCGACCAAATTCTCCATTGATTCACCAGCTGATGACACGTACAAAAGGCTTGGTGATTACGCGAAAGCGGAAGGTCTGAGTGCATTTGTTGGGAAAACATTCTATTTCTGCAGGACTATTCTGGAACTACAAGTATACCACCCTTGAAATTTAGTACTGTGACACTTTTCTCGATATTTTCTTTTAGTGAATTATGCATCTAGTCATTTAATCGATTCTTGGTTTGATTGTAACCTGTTGGTTTGATTGGCGATTTAAAGGTATCTCACTGGTTTCCAGCTTACTACGAACTTATAGTACTATAACTACCCTTTTTGGTTTACAGCCGTTTCATGGACTTGCGACATTCAGAGAAATGAGGTTTGGCTGCTTCAAAGGTTTCCAAAATATTGAAGAAGCCCAGGGTACTAATCGAAGTCAGTGTGAACAAATTGAGTAATCACCGTTTCACTTTGTTTTGATTGCTTTAATTGTTTGTTCGGTAGCGACTTCTCGTTGCATGATAAAAATATTTTAGGTGAATTCACCAAAACCCTCAACCAGCGAAAGTGACCTCAAGTTAAGTAGTTGTGGCATCTGTTACAAGTCATATGTCATATACAGTTTAATATGTCAAATCGCTATGATGGTTGACTCACTTCGCTTAGCGCCAAAACAAACAAACGCAACATATCTGAATATCAAATAATGTGAACAACTTGCTATTTGCTACAAGTTTAACTAATCTCTTCAAACAGCATACAGGTTCAAATGAGTGAGAAAACTTCAGGGCAATAATTCAGGGCGTTCAAAGAAATTTGTAGGCTCAGCATTATTGTGAAGAGGATGTACTGAAACTCACTGAGGGTACAAAGTTGTACTGTGATGCCAATAACTTGGTTCCTAGAAGCCAGCAAATTCTTATGACCTTGTCATAAATATATTGGACATTGCATTTCTCATTGTTCTGCTAGGCTGGATTTACAAAAGCGGGCCACACAGTTTGTTTCGCTATAGTCGTTCTTTAAGACTGGACCTGCTTAAGATGTTTTATAAACCGGAAGAAATTGAGGCTGTTAATGTACCTGACTTAAATAAACTACTTCAAATGGATCCTTGGCTGGAGCCATATAAGTATGAAATTAAGCGCAGGTGACTACCTATTAAATCTGAAGAAATATTTTTCAGATATAAATGTTTTTTAGACCATATGAAGTGGATAAATGATGTATGTGGTTTAGAGGAGTTCACGCAGGGTTATAAAGAGTTCGGAGTACATGTGCATGCTGATGGATCTATTTATTGCAAGGAATGGGCTCCAGGTGCAAAGGAGTTGTATCTGCGTGGAGATTTCAGTGAGTTATATGCATTCTTTCTAATATTTAGATGACTGGAAGGAGTTTACCCATCCATTTAAGAGTGTTGGTTTTGGCAAGTGGGAGCTGATAATACCACCATCTAATGGCTCACCCCTAATAAAACATCTTTCTAAGATTAAGGTATTTGTATCTCTATTCCCATTCATTTCGTAGCTCTTGGTTGTTGCTCATGATGGTCGTCGCCTTGACAGACTAAGCCCTTGGGCTCCCTATGTCAAGTGCTTTGAAGGAAACATTGTATATGACCAATTATTATACAATCCCCCCGAGGTAACTTGTTCTACATCATACTTTGCATTTAAAGAAATATCAATTTAAACATCCTCACCCTCCACGTCCTAAGAGTCTTAGAATATATGAGTGTCACATTGGTATTTCGTCTTCTGAACCAGTTGTTGCGTCGTATACTCATTTCAAGGACAATATCCTACCTCGAATCAAAGACTTAGGTAAGTATGGTAAAACTACATGTTTGGTAATCACTGGTGTTGTAGTAGTACTCATAGCACAACGTTGAATAATAAGAAGCGCACACGAGAAGAACCTTAATTTATATTACACAGAAGCATTTCGATTCACTTGCAAAGCATAACTTAGTAAATTAATTTTTGTAAATATACTGTATTTAGCCTGTTGAAGCAAGTTATAAAGAGTTGCTAAGACCAGGATATATTCTTTCAGTTGATAGATTATGTGGAATATCAGGAACAAATTTTCAGTTGAGTTTAGATTACTTCCGGCCCTAACTTAAACGAATAACTTGTATTATGTCATCTATTACTTAAACACATGTTTTCTACCAGTTTTTTTAAGATATTTTGCTTGATTTAAATTTAAGTGTGACCTGCCTTACATAATTTAATTTGTATTTTGCATTCCAACTTAGAAGGAACCGTTAACTGTTTGATATGAGTAGATTTAAATTAATGGTCATCAAGCCCCTATCACGAATACCTTATATGTCAATAGGGACTGAATACTTTCGGAATGTCAGGTTCGCAGTGACATTAACTGCATAGGAATATACATTACATCCTTCAAGTGAAATCCAGATTATAGTTAAGATTATTGTCTTCGCAGGTTACAACGCGATTCAAATCATGGCGCTTATGGAGCACGCCTATTATGCCTCTTTCGGATATCAGGTCACCAGTTTCTTCGCGGCTTCAAGGTAAGTATAATCTCTATATGTGCGTTGTACGCATTCAATCCGATGATTTTTGAGAGTAAGTCTTGACTAATTGTCGTTGGCTCTACATATGTTCGGTGTTTTATTGATAACTGGATTTTCATTCTTACAGATTCTGTAACAAAACAGTTTTTGTAAGAGATTTTTTCTGTTTTGTGTATGTATTATATCGTTTTGATTGAACACCTTCCGTTATTTCTGACTTTTGATGGAACAGGTGTCTTTAAATTTTCTTTATTGTATTTCCATATTCAAAAGCTGTCGTTGGTAAGTTTGTTTAAATAGTGTAACCACCCATGTTAACGAAGCATAGATAATATTTGTATTCATAACGATGTTTCAAAGTGATTAGAAAATAATATGAACTCGAGAGGTCAGATCATCTGAGATTTTAACTCACATGTAGTATGTACTTCTAGTGTTTCATACTCCTAATTATTGACAAACTTGTGTTCCTGAATCTATTATTTTTGTAACTTTTCTGTGCATATCATCAAGCTCACTAATACATGCAGTTCGACCATTCGTGTATTAAATTACCTAATACCAGTTACAGTATGCGAACATTGTTTATATTGACATTGCAACTGTTTTAATTCGTGTGTGATCCACAAAAGTCAACATCACCTAGTATGAATTTTTTATATTTACTGTAACCTCCCTGACCAGGTCAGTCTTTTTAAAGTTGGAAATAAACCAAATTACTTACATCTGTTTATTTCTAATAATAAACACTTGCTGAAAGTCAACATTCTTCGTCTTCTCGAACAGCATTCCTCTGCTTACTATCGTAATTTTGAGTACTTTATCCCTGACTCAATGTGTGGCTTCTAACTTGGAACATGAGATACCTGTTCCGATAAAAAAAGTTGGGTTATTTGCTCCGATACTTCGTTTTGCGCTAGTGGGTCTAGGGTTCGAAGGATGTTCTTCAACCTGTGTGACTGGATACTGCCGGGCCTATTACAGCAAGTACGACTAACTCTGGCACATCGAAAATCTGCTCCGCGTGATTCATTGTCTTATTCCAGTCACCATATTCAAACAGGATTTTAATAAGTGGAACGAACTGTTACTTTTTGGTGACGCAAGCTAACATGCGCTTGATGCTTGTGTCTCAGGAGCTCGCAACTAGTAGGAGTTTGGACTTTGAATTCTCATTCTCTCATTCTCTTTTTGTTCCGTGTTAGTGATCAAGTGACTGTCAATTTCAGGGCTCTAAACTTCTGGACAATTTTTGTGTTTCTACAAAATGGGATCATCGGTTTTTCCTTGTGCATACTTGTTTACGTTTCCCATGACAAATCGAATAGTTTGTTCAGTAGAGACTTTCAAAGGCATATAGTTTAATTCCTCTGTTTGATTAACCTTTGACTACAATAAACTTTGTAAAGTGGTAAAAAGATTATATATATCCTGTTTCATTTGAAAATAAATACTCCACAACTGTAGTACGTCTATCAACTCTTTAGAGTTTCACACCTGACTATCAAGCTATTTGTTCTGGCTTTTTGTTGTCTTTTTGGCATTGGTGAAATGTAGGGTCATCTGGAAATTTTGAGCATGAGTCTGAATATTTTTGACATCTGTGTTATTCCCATTATGTGGTAGGTGGTGCCACATGGCTTGTCTTTGAAAATTGAGTTTAAAGATAGGGAGGGAAAAGTCAAAAGTATTGACTTAATCACTTATTTAGGAAGTTGTACCTAATATAGTGGAATGGTTACTGAATAAATTGCAGCACAAACACAAAGTACATTTATTTTATCTGCCGCTTCACCTTTCCTGGTACTTGCTAGGTAACCGACTATTTACTACACAATAAGTACATTGAACATCAAATATAAGCAAATCGATTACACTGAATTAATCATGCAAAATGACGGGTGTGAATTTTTTTAGGTCACGTCCAAATAGCTAAGGGGAAGGGAGTATGAGAGATTAAAATTAAGGTAAAATGTATTACGGTCCAATTATATCATTTAAATAAACAATTACTCATCAGAGAAAGAACTCAAATATATCAAGAATTGCGAACTGAGTAATATTAATAGTAGTGTTGAAACGAGTCAAGTTAATACTACTGATAAGCATTTATAGTCTGTTACTTTTATTTTCATTTGGTTCTTAATGTTAATCCAGTTAATTTCATTCTTCATTCGTGATAATGAGCATCAGCATCATTGTGTTTTTCCTATCCTTTGGGTGTGTCGTTTTCGAAGTGCACAATTTCATATGTTTCAACAGCTAAGCTGTAGTATTTATGCTTATAACATATGCTGCATTTATATTACAACACTGATTTTAGTTAAAACTTGATCACTCGTGTTCCTTATTTTTTTAGTCGCTTTGGTACTCCCGAGGAGCTTCGCGCGTTGGTTGACGAAGCACATCGTCTTGGTGTGGTGGTCCTTCTGGATGTTGTTCATAGCCATGCTTCCAAGAACACTAATGATGGTCTTAACCAGTTTGATGGTACAGATGCCTGTTATTTTCATGACCGGGGTCGTGGGACTCACGATCTATGGGATTCTCGTCTATTTAATTATACAGAGTAATACTTCGTTACCATATCTATATATTTATGTTACTCAAGTGGGATATTTAAAACTTTAATCAAATTAATTTTTTTTAACTAACAGTTAGCTGTCACAAAAAGTTAGGATAGCTCTTTCCTATTTTCTTTTGTTGTATACCTAATAGGTTTGCTTAGTATAAAATGGAGTTAATTAAGTGTTCAGGTTGATGAGTGGCTATAACAGTACCCAGTTATTTCCAGTTAATTTGATATATTAAATGCATTGAGTTACACCTTACTCCCAACCTGGTTGTGTGACGTTTATCTGGCTGACTGAGTTTTCGACGTAGAACTTTGTAAAAAAGTGCAGCATTTCAAGTTGCCATACTCAGTGTTTCACACAAAAGTAGTTGAAAAAATTCAAAGGAGCTATGATGAACAGATATGTACTAGAGAAAGAATAGTAACATGAAGAATTATGGGAATTTAATACATTCAGGAGTTCAAAAAAAGTGAATGCGTCTGCACCATTGAGAACGATTATGGCCTATGTCACCAACAGTCTCCATCCATTGATTGTTAAGGTTTCGAGGACCTCAGCCAGATGGTCTATATCTTCTGACGTGACCGAAAATAACAGTCAAAGACTACATGGGCTGATGCCAGATTTCCACTTGACCACTTATAACTCTTTCCCAATCTAGATCCTATGTCAGGTAACATTACTCGACGAGGAAGACGACGACTCGGCATTTGTTTATAAAGCATCTCTAGGTATATCATTTGATGCATTTTCACGTCATTGGTTGGTTTTTCATCCTTATCTGACACTACGCCTAACCTCAGTATTGCCTACTATATTATATCATCCAACACGAGGCATGGAATGCAGACACATGTGATCAAAGATAGTTGGCCTCTCCATATCTCCCACCTTCAACGGTGCCGTCTCTCATCAAGATGTACAGAGCGGACTGTTGCACAGTACACACATGCTTTGATTGATGTTTGAACATTGTCTACGCCAGAGATGACGTGAGCTGGCGAATCCGTGCTGAGATTTCGTCAGCAACCAGTCTTTTAGAGCTGATGTGGCCTCCCAAATAAGTGAGATGGTCAACACGTCCTACCACCTCACTCCTTATCTTTAAACTAGGGGTCAATGTAGACCAGTCCTGCAGCAGGGGCGAATCGCATAGCAAATATTTGAAGATTGCTGCTCAAAATGTTCTTCCAGTGTCTCCATCTAGACGGACAATATTATCTTCACGCTGTAAGTCAACGAGATTATCCCTTTGTAACAAGTCAATCTCTAAGTCACTAAAGTCGATTAGGATCACATTCACTGTTTTCACAGCCAACTGGACATTATATCAGGCATCCTAAGAATGAATCTTGATGTCAGTGTCAGATATAAATGTAGTCATTACTTCACTGAATAGCTAAGTGACTAAATGTTCAGTAGCTGAATTCAAATACGATACATGTAATTTGTCATAGCATTTTTTGGGTAATGTGTTCATACTTAGTTACCCAAACTTTTCCTCTTTGTTTTACTTAATAATAATCATTTTAAATAACTGTTAAGCATTATAAAAGAGGGCAGAAAGAGGTATTTCCAGTCCCTTACGGACATTGTTTATGTAGAAGTACGTTATTAGCTGTCAATACAATTTACTTTAGATAGCAGCCAGTTTCAACTAGGTGTGGGCGATAACTTCGTTATGTTTGTGATAAACAGATTTGTTGAGATGTTCCTTTCAGTGTTGTTCCTGTTTTATCTAGGAACTCATCTTTCAACTGTTGGTTTCACTCCACTTTATCTTTCATTTATTGGTGTTTCAGACACGATAATCTTTCGCTTCAAGGTGCATCCTGCTAATACAAGTTATATAATCCCATTACATTCTCGAATATTCGTTCCTGATAAACGGTTAAATGTGACAATTATTCTGAAATACACAAAGTGGAAATATGTCCATCTTTCAAGGGCTTTTAAATTGTGATTCTACAATTAGCTATTATCAATACATAAGTTGAATCGTATTTAATCATAGTACGAATGAATGCTTTATTATCATAGATTCGAATATAATACCAATATCATAATGGTAGCGCTACTGTTCACAGCATTATTCTTTCACGATATGTTTTTCAGAGAAATTTATTCCATGTACACTCAATTTACTTAAATATTCAATTTGTACAGGCTAGAAGTTTTACGATTTCTGATGTCAAATCTACGTTGGTGGGTTGATGAGTATGGTTTCGATGGTTTCCGTTTTGATGGAGTTATGTCTATGCTTTACCATCATCATGGTTTGATGACAAATTTTTCTGGTCACTATGGTGAATATTTTGGACTCTCTGTCGACACGGAATCATTCACTTATTTAATGCTAGCAAACCACTTTTTACATCAGAAGTATCCATTTGTCATTACTATAGCTGAGGTAAGAGTTATCGGTTTGGATTTTCATCAGTCATTTTCACATTCACTTGTATCTCTTCATTGCTTTCATATGTGTAAACTTGAAATAATGCGAAAGATTTTATTCCCTACGAGTTGGACAATTTTTCGGCGTACATTAAACCTAATTTGCGTGGCTTGAATTTTAAAATGCTTGTTGGTCACTTATTTTTTTAGGAAGTCAGTGGTATGCCTACCTTGTGTCGTCCAGTTTCTGAAGGTGGTGGTGGATTCGATTATCGATTAGCAATGGCCATTCCTGACAAATGGATTCAGGTAAGATGTTAGTTTAATTCATATACATAATACATAACGAAGTTCTCTGAACAAATAATTTATCCTAATCACAGAGTGTTCCATGTTAATTTTGTGCCCTAAGCTTTTTCCAGTTAGTTTCCTTAATATAATAAATGAAAACTGTTTTCAGAGAAAGCATTACACTGGAAACTTATTAACTGGTGTAGAACAATGTCATACATGCTCATCATAAAGTAAAGCACCTAAATGTTTTGCTTGCCTTCCATTTGGGAAACTATCATACACATTGCCTTTATTGAAGATAACCTCTATTCGTCAAAACTGTAGCAGATTAGTTTGTTTTAATCTGACTGGAATTGATTTACAATATATGAGTGGGAATAAACTGAGTACTGTCTTACCTTTTTACCTCTGCTGATGTGTTCATGCCAAGTATTAGGTTTTCCTCTGCTGATATTTCAGGGAGAATTTTCCTTAGATATCACTTCTAACAATTTACAATGGTAGTTGAAATCAGCTTACATTGAAAAGGATAAGAGTGATGAAGTTGCTCAATGAAATTACTGAGCCGTGTGGGCAAATTTAGCTCAAATCTTTCAAATCACAAGTGAAATTTATCCCCCATTTTCGAAATACCTTATCCTTTCATACTGTTCTCTTCTAATCGTGTTTATTTTGTTTATTTAAATACTTCGTTTTTACTGAAATTATATTTCTATGGTATTATGAAATGTGAGTAACCTAAACAGTATTTACAGTCTGCGAGTCAAATGTCGGACTGCTTATTTTTGTATTACGTTGTTGTTACGATTATTGCGTAGTTGGATTCGGACGTAGCAATACGGGTATGTGTACATGTCGATCAAATAAATCACACGTTGCTGCAACTTAAAAATCAGTCATTTTATTTTACTTACTATCGAATCTTTTTACAAGGTGATTTCCATCTCAGTTAATCTGGTGTTAATAGATTTGATTGATCGCATCATTTATAGATAGTCACTGCAGTTTTGATTTTGTCTGATGGTAATTTCATTTTCATATTCAGCTCCTAAAGAAATACAAAGATGAAGACTGGAGTATGGGTGATATTGTGCATACACTGACAAATCGACGTTATGGTGAATCCAATATTGCGTATGCAGAATGTCATGATCAGGCTTTAGTTGGTGATAAAACTATATCCTTTTGGCTTATGGATAAAGAAATGTACTTTAGTATGAGCACTTTAAGTCCACCGAATTTAGTTATTGATCGTGGTATTGCATTGCACAAGCTGATAAGATTTATAACACATACCTTGGGTGGTGAAGGTTATCTCAATTTTATGGGTAAGTGATTGTGTTCATGCTAAACTATAAAATTATATTATTATCGTCTTAGGTTCCGAGTGGAACAAGGCTTCAACAGCACATCTACATTTCATCATGTTTTCTGCAGTTATCTTTAGCTGTCTTCACTATTACTCGTGGGCCTTCATCTCATCCTCATACGACCTCCCCCATGCCACCCTCGAATGTCTAACTCGTTCCCCATTCGGGTTCCAAACGAGGGTTATTCATAATGCCGAAGGAAATGCTGCAGCATGCTTTTAAATGAATCGCCTTACACTTTTACTGACACTGAAATATATAGGTGATTGCCATATCCTCCCTAAAATACATCATTTCAAGTGTATATTAATCTAACTTATGTGAACTGTGAATTGAGGTTTGGGATTTGAAAGTTTTCATGGAAAAGTGGTGTGGATGTTAATGTAGTCTTTGAGATGACTTCATGCTGCTTTCTATTTTTATTGATTCTATTTTAAACCACGTATTAGATAAGTGAGTGAGGTCACAAAAGCTATCAGTAATTTGAAACGAGGCAAAGCGGCAGGACCCGACGGAATTATTCCGGAGGTGTTTAAATATGGGGGTGACATACTAGTTTGTAGATTAACTGAGGTACTAGGCAAAGTCTGGGAATCAGAGACAGTGCCATCAGACTGGGGTAAGTCACTTATTATACCGATATTCAAGAAGGGAAACAAGTCCTCGTGTGATAATCATAGGGGGATCAGCCTAACGAACATAGTCTCTAAAATCCTAGGCTCAGTAATCATGCATAGACTAAGCAGAACTCGGGAGGAACAGACAAGGGAAAATCAAGCAGGCTTTAGACCAGGTAGAGGGTGCATAGATCATATCTTCACTCTTCGACAGATTCTAGAACATAGACACACTTTTCGGCGTCCAACAATTGTCATATTTCTTGACTTGAAGGCGGCCTTCGACTCCGTGGATCGAAAGGTACTATGGCAATGTCTGACTGTGAAGGGAGTGCCAAGAAAGTACATTGCACTAATCAAGGCACTCTATTCAAACTCACGTAGTCGTGTAAGGGCTTATGGGGAATTGTCATCTGAATTGGTAACAACCAGTGGTGTCCGACAGGGATGTCCACTTTCCCCATTTCTGTTTAACTTCATCATAGATATGCTGATGGAAGTATCCTTAACTGAACGTAATGACTTAGGAATCGACTTGTTACCAGGGAATAGTCTTATGGACTTAGAATATGCAGATGACATAGTCCTGTTAGGGGAGGATGCTGACAAAATGCAGAGTCTTCTGAACACCTTGAGCAGCAATCTTCGTATGTTTGGCATGCGATTCGCCCCTACAAAATGTAAGATGCTGCTACAGGACTGGACCACGTCAACTCCTAACTTAGTGATAGGGAGTGAAGTGATAGAACATGTTGACCACTTCACCTATTTGGGAAGTTGTATTAGCACCAACGGACTGATTGGCGATGAAATCTCAGCACGGATCCGAAAAGCTCGAGCTGCTTTCGCTGACTTACACCATCTCTGGCGTAGGCGTGACATCCGGTTATCAACCAAGGGACGTGTGTACTGCTCATCAGTTCGCTCCGTCCTTCTCTATGGCTCTGAAACATGGCCAATACGCGTTGAAGACATGAAAAGGTTGACTGCTTTCGATCATAGATGTCTGCGATCTCTGTCTCACGTTAGGTGGTTTAATAAGGTAAGTAATGTTGACGTTAGGCGTAGAGTGTTGGGCAAAGAGGGAAAATCAATCGACGAGGCTATAAAGTTACATAGACTAAGATGGCTAGGTCACGTGCTGCGCATGCCTAACCACCGCCTCCCCCGACGGGCATTGCTAGCTGATATAGGTGCAGGTTGGAAAAGAGCCAGTGGTGGCCAAACAAAAACATGGCATCAATCCATGAAATCCTTGACAGTTAAACTGAGTCAGGTAGGGAGATGCAGACTCCCGGGTTGGGGCCCTCGGGACTCTAGGAATCAATGGCTGGAGACAATAGGTGACATGGCTCAAAATCGTTGTCAATGGCGCAGATGTATTCAGTCTCTGTAATCTTTCATATTCCTTTCTACCATTACCCATTCTGTTTCACTCTTATACTTGTCAAACTCTATTGATTCTCTTCACTCATCTTCTTGTCTACCTCTGTGTGCTATTTGGAACGTGGCAACTCGAACTGGTGCACTTCGGTGCCAAGTTCTATGTTGAATCTAGACAGACAGAGAACATATAATACCTGTACATAAATAATCGCAGACAAGTTGGAGGACTGTTGTAAAGTGTATTACTATGCTGTATCAGGGTCTATAAGTTGTAATATAGTACCATTATTTTTCTGCGAGTTTGTATGTACACCAATTATGAAGGTGTGAAAACTTTACGTTGCCAAAACTGCTTTTTGGTTCCACATATTTTGTATCCTGAAATTTTACTTCTTAGACCCTAATTAAAAGTCTTCCTGTCCTAAATTGTAGGTAATGAGTTTGGCCATCCTGAGTGGTTAGATTTTCCAAGGGCTGGTAATAATAGTTCTTATCACTATGCACGTCGTCAGTGGAATCTGGTTGACGATCCTTTATTACGTTATAAATATCTGAATAATTGGGATAAGGCTATGCAACATTTAGAGGAAAACTATGGTTGGCTTGCTGCACCACAGGTAAGTGTTGCTCTAAATGATGGTGTTAGTTTTTATTGCTTCATCATATTTACTGCTTATTTTCTTTCCATGTATTTGTATTTTCTAATTGCTTACTTTTATTCTGTTGTGGAGTAAATGACTATTGAACTAGAGAATTTTGAGGGACAGAAAAATCAAGGATGTTATAATAGCTTAAAAAGTAAACCCAAAAAACAAAGGCTGTGGATTTATTTTTATGCAATTATCTATCGTGACTTTATGGATGGGCTGTTAAGAATGCCCCATGAAGCTAAATAAGAGAAACTGTGTTTCAAGTATCTTCATTTGAGAAAGAGATGAACTTAAGATTCCATTGAACTCTGTAGAAATATAAGTTTAGTGAGCTACAGGTACATTCCTTCAGTAGTTCCCTAATCGAATGGAATATTGATACCGTATTTAACTCATAGCCATGTCCAGGTGGCGGCACTTTATTTTTTAGTTGTATGTAGTCTTTCAATATCTTTAAGACTCCATAGTTTTCTTCAAATTGAGACATTATTTTGTCACGAACCAATGTCCTTTGAAGGATGACTGAAACTCGGGGAGCACTGGAGAGTCATTTCGTCCAAGTCTGAAACTTTGCAGCTCTGGTCACTTGCATCCCCTTATGGTCAAATCCCAGGTTACAGAGCTGACCGGTCGACCATTCAACCAGCGAGTTGAAATCGAAGAACGCGTAAATTCTAACTTCTGTAGATTCACGATACAACACCATCCAGTGTCATCAGTGGTTATGTATCGTCTTATCCGATTTGGTGAACCCAATCTGCTACTCGTTCTCATAAGAACTCCAGGAAGTTCATTTGGTTGGATACCATTAGATTCCTCAGCAGTGTCTAAATGCTCAAAATCCTCACTTGAGAGTCTTAAGTTCCTGCGTACGACTCCTGGTGAGGACATGGGTGCTCAGTGTTGCTGGGTGGGTCACGTTTGGTATCTTTGATTGATATCAGTTTATGATATCAACCGACCGAGTCCCCGAAACTCAACATTATGGTGTTAAAGCAATTTAATATTAAGGAATTTGAAAAAAAACTATCTCGGAGTTGGTATGACTTGGACATCGGGCAAAAACAAAGGGGTACTACATATACGTCATTTTAAATTCTTATTTGTAGTTAGAATAATAAGCCCTCCTGATGTTACAATGGATGTGTTCTTCAATGGTAAAATAAGTGGAAGTGATACAGTTTATGGTATAGTAACGTGTAACTTTTTTCTCTGCATCAATACAAATTTATTTCACTGCAAATTTTTCTTTATCTTCATAATAAATATTTCTCACTACTACTTTTTGAACTTTTCTTCTGTAATTAAAAGCTCATCAAACATTTCTGTTTGTGCTACTGCATGTTATACTCCTCGTTTATGCAGTAACTGGAATAATTTATGGTTTTACGAATAAAACTGTTTAGGGTGTTCTGTGCATTTGTATATAACTTTTATCTACATCATATATTCTACGTGTTTCAGCTAAATTCTTGTGCAGATATTATCATTAGTGATTTTTTTCTTTAATAATTTTGTAAATGTAAGATTCCGAATTATCCCTTTATCCTCAGAATTAGTGAGCGGAGATACCGTTGACCAGTGATTACAATAGTCTTACATATTCTCATTTTCTGTTTTATTTATCAGGCATACGTTAGTAGGAAAAACGAAGGTGATAAAGTTATTGCATTTGAACGTGCTGGAGTTTTATTTGTTTTCAATTTCCATCCTACTCAAAGTTTCACGGACTACAAGATTGGAGTTGAAACACCAGGACGGTAGGTTTGTCATCATTTTGATTATTAACTTTCCAGGCATATTTCGTTACTTTCACAATGTCCTGTTGTCTTTACTAAAACCTATTTTTGCATTCACTAAGACGAAGCAAATCATTCTTTTATTTTGGAATTGAAAACTTAGTGTCAAACTAGATATTATGTTGAAATTCAATTTGATCTTCATCTTTCATTTGTTACCGTCGTTACAACTTTAAGTTAATAACTGTCCATGGTTTATCCTGACAACCGTTGCACACAGCTTTGTTGACAAGGTACTAAGTGTCTATTTGAATAGTCCTGTTTACACAAACTGTCTTGCAATACAGTTTGATAGATGGCTCATTGTTATATACCTTCAATCATCAGTATTTAGGTCTTGACTTGTTTCGAAATGGAACTTTGCAAATATGTGCAGCAGTTGGAGTTGTCAATCTCCCTCCCTGTAGTAAACAAAGCAAGAGAAAATAAGTAAAGATAATAAACACAAGTGCAAGGGAAAGAGAAAAGTACTATGGAAGAACAGTAGTTTTATCGGATATGACAAATCACAAAGAGTGAATGCATCTGTGCCATTGAGAACGATTTTCAGCCATATCACCAATTATCTCCAGCCATTGGTTGTTACCATCCCGAGGAACCAAACCAGAAGGCATACACCTCCCTGCGAGGCTTAAATTAACTCTTATGGATCCCAACAATGTTTTCATTTGACCAACACCAGCTATTTTCCAACCTGATACCATGTCACCTAAAATTGCCCTCCAAGGAAGGCCGACCGAAAGCTGCTACCTTGACGTGGTGGTCGGGCTTGAACACCGCAATGTCCCAACAAGCTATACTAGCTGAGACTTATGTCTCTTGAGGTTCTACCATGCCAGGCAGGTTGTTTGGATAGCTGTTAAACAAAAAGCAGCTACCCCATCCAATACCATGATTCAAACAAATTCACAAAATATCATGCCAGATCGGCCGTGGCCCGGATTAACAACGACCGCGCTTCCTGCTGCCGTGTCACAGGGCAGGAGTGATAAATATGCTACTGAGACACACAAAAACAACAAAGAACAAACAAAAACAGGCCGCGTGTGACTGGCCTCAAGCAGTTGTCCCCTGGGCTCTGCGGTCACGCAACCAACTTCCACGGTGTGGGCAGCCGGGAAGTAACAAACGCCCTCACAATCCGAAACGCACGCAAAACCTCTAATCCAAGGAAGGCCGTGGGTAGGCTTGCATTACATGTTTCCTAACCATCTCAATTGGTGTATCTTCACAACCTCGTCGATTGATTCTCCCCCCCCACCTAGCACTCGACGCTTAACCTCAATATTGCTCACCTTATTCTACCACCTAACACAGAAGATAGAACGCAGACACCTATGATCAAAGACGGCTAGCCTTTTTATGTCTTCCACTTTCAATGGCCAGGCCCACAGTCATAAAGGGGGACGAAGCGAACCGCTGAGCAGCACAATATGCCCTATGGTCGATAGTCGGATATCACGTCTACGCCAGAGATGGTGTAGGTTGGCTGCAAAATGCCAAACGAGCCTTCTGTATACGTACTGAGATTTTGTCAACGATCAGTCCGTTGACACTGGCTGATATAACTCCCCAAATAAATGAAATGGCCAGCACGCTCTACCACTTCATTCCCTATCTTTAGGCTAAGATTAGATTAGGACGAGTCCTGTAGTATCATCTTGCATTTGACAGGGGCGAATCGCATGCCAGACATTTGAAGATGGCTGCTCAAGGTGTTCAGAAGACTGCATTTTGTCAGCGTCTGCAACTAGGAGGGCTACATCATCCTCATATTCCAAGTCAACGACATTATTCCCTTTTAAAGGGCGAGCCAATCCCTGACTCGCTGAAGTCAGTTAGAGTTAAGTTCAGTAGTATATTTGTGACGAAATTAAACAGAAATAGTGACAGTGGGCATCTCTGTTGGACACCACTGGTTGTCACCACTTCAGATGACAGCACTCCGTAGGCTCTCACCTGGCTGCATGAGTTCAAGTAGATCGCCTTGACCAATGCAATGTATTTTCTCGGCATTCCATTCACAACCAAATATCGCCGTAGTACCTCTCAGTCGACGGAATCGAATGCCACTTTCAGGTCAAGAAATATGAGGCGGGTATGTATGCCTGTGTTCCAGGATCTGTCGGAGAGTGAAGATATGATCAATACACCCTCTGCTTGGTCCTCTCGTGTTTGTTTCTCCCGGGTTCCACTTAGCCTACGTATTATTATTGAGCGTAGTACTTTAGATCCTCCTGTGATCATCTCAAGAATACTTGTCTCCCTTCCACAGCCAACTATATAGTGTACCAGATTTCCTCAGGGGGAGTCCTGCTGTCGACCTCAGATACTCGCTTCACTATTTCTTCTTTAAATGGGGACTCAGCGTCATGACCTAGTTCGGTACGTAAATGCTTCACTGCCAACGGTTTCTATATGTCCGTTTAGTCGTAAGCATAAACATGCGCGAACCAGGGCGTGATAGGAGTCTACGCACGTGTCCCAGAAGGAGCAGCAGTCTTCTACTGACCCTCGCCAACGATACCCTATTGCCATGTGGTCTACTTGGGTCCAACGTTGATTTGGTGATTGAGGTCGCCAAGTTAGGCAATTTCTCTCTTTGTGCCTAAAGTTAGTGCTGACTAGGAACAGATGATTATCTGCACAGAACTGTAGAAGATGATCACCGTTGTGGGTTCGTCGGCAGGGACGTACCATCAGCCCCAACGGGTTGATCTCTGACGAAACCTCTACACTGATACAGAGGGCCAGTTTCGCATATGCCAGTTTACGCTGTCTCTGGCGTAGACGTCATATCCGACTATCGACCAAAGGGCGGGTGTACTGCTCATCAGTCCGCTCTCTCCTCCTCTATGGCTGTAAGACCTGGCCATTGAGAGTGGAAGACATGAAAATATTAGCTGTCTTTGATCATAGGTGCCTGCGCTCTATTTCCCGTGTAAAGTGGCATAATAAGGTGAGCATTATTGAGGTTAGGCGTCGAGTTCTAGGTAAGGAGGGGAAACCAATCGACGAGGTTGTGAAGTTACATAGACTAAGACGGTTAGGACTTGTGTTACGTGTGTCTAGTCATCGCCATCCTCGATAGGCAATGTTAGCTGACATAGGGTCAGGCTGGAAAAGAACTAGCGGCGGTCAAACCAAAACATGGCTTCACCAGTCAATGAAATCTACAACAGTTAGTCTAATCCACGTAGGACTTCCTGATTGGGGTCCTCGGGACGGTAAAAACCAATGGTTGGAAACAATTGGTGACATGGCTCAAAATCGTTCTCAGTGGCGCAGATGCATCCACTCCTTGTGACCTATGATTTCCAATGAAACTGTTTTGTTCTTCGTTACTACTATTCCTTTGTCTCACACCTCCGTTTACTGTCTCTATTTTGCATTTCTTCTACCTTCTCTTGCTTTGTGTGCTACATGGAATGTGGCGACTTGAACTGCCGCACGTCGGCGCAAAGTTCTATGTCGAAAACAGACAGATAGGTGTCGGCAGGGAACCCCCATACGTGCCACCTACATACTTCTCAGTCTGGCAGAACTTCCGTGCTTGGGCATTGAAGTCGCTTGCCTTTTGCAGCAAATTTTACAGTTTCAGGTAGAAGACATCTTTTAGTTCATCCGAACTGCAGTCTGTCGGGGCGTGAGTGGAGACTACGAAAAGACGTCGACGGGTAACGCAGTGCTTCCTTCTTCTAACGGGCTCGTTCAGACGGACCGCACACATACGAGTAACTACTGGAATCCAGTCAAGGAGGAATTTTTCTTCCCCAACAATCAATGCTATCCCTGCACCTGCGAGTCCCCGCGAACTAACTGAGGGGTCTCCTGATACCCTTAAAGTGAGTTTTGCAGATTCACCTTGTTGGTCAGGTCAGGTTAAGTGAATGACCACACTTTGTTCTTGTATGCGTGTCTTCAAGACACAACATACATGCATGGCTCGAGATGCCAAAGCTCTTGCTAGTGGTACCTTTTGTCTGATTTGTCAGAGGGTACTGACGTTAAGTGCTCCTATATGAAGTTGGAGATGTGGCTTTAAGAGGCTGTCCGGAGTGTTTCTATTTCTCTCATCGTTGTTTGTGGTCACAGAGTAAAGTGACGACGACTCAGTAGTCTGAGGAATAGCACTGACTGTAGTAAGGGGGAAAGATGGTGGTGATTTGGGTAAAGAAGAATGATGTTCAGGAGGGCTCGGTGTTCATTTGTAAGTGTGTCATTATTATTATTATTATTATTATTATTATTATTATTATTATTATTATTATATCCAATAATTCCTAGAGGAACATAGGTCTTCAGCCACGCGTCTCTATTGCCTTCTGTTTTCTGCCAACTTTTTCACTCCGCTTCAAATCTTCCCACATTCTTTCACTTCCTCTTCACATGACATCCTCCAAGTCACTCTTGCACTGACGACTGACTCGCCGCTTCCCTTTCGGGTTCCACTCGAGCAGTGGCTTGTCTAGTGATGTCACTTGATGGCTTGTTTCCTCAGAGTATGGCCAATCCATCTGAATTTCTTCCTGCCTATTTGTTTCACAATCGGTTCCTGGTTGGCTCCCTCATTGCCAGAGATCCCTGTTGCTGATCTTTTCTGGCTGGCCATCTGATTTTGAGTATTGAGCGAAGACAACTGTTAATGAAGGTCTGAAGTTTGTTTGAGATGCTCTTTATAACGCGCCAAGTCTCTGATCTGTATAGTAGCACTTACTTTACATTGGAGTTGAAAATCCGGATCTTATTTTTGATGTTGAGTGCTGTTGACCTCCACACAGACTTATGAGTAATGAAAGCCTGTCTTGTTTTTCCCGTTCTGGCTTTGATATCCTCGTCAGTTCCGCCTGTAGTTGAAACGATGCTTCCGATTTGGGCAGGTAAAGGATGTTGTTTCTTTCAGGTTCCTCCCATTTATGCTGGCTGATTGTCGTCTATTGGATTACTTGGCATGCAGCATT